AAGGTTTGGGTTGCTAGATGTAATAAAGGAGGCAAAGCCAAGGTTGCATCTACTGGTGTTTAGGAGATGAAGAGCACACTGGCTTGGTGTCATAAATTATGGTCATGTTTCATGTTAAGATGACAACAGTGAGAAAAGCAACTTCTGGACTATTAAAAGGATTAAGAGTCCTACAATGGTAAAACAGAATGTTTAAAAATGTTAAGTTTCCCACCTCAAACAAAAATCCACTGTAAAAACAAGAGATGCCTAGGCTGTTCAAATCCTAAGGAATCAAAATCCTGTTCAAATCCTGGAGTTAGTGTGAAACCTCCATTTTTTGTTTTCTCGATGACAGGAAATATTTGTATTCACACTAAGACAGACAGGCTTTGGTGGTAAACAAACAGAAAGAGAATAAAGGACTGGGTTCTGTGACTGTAAAGTTGTACTCAAATAAAGAGAACTAAAGCTCTAATAAAATGATTACTCCTTAACCAGGGCTGTATTCAACATAAAAGACCACTGCTTCCTTCAGGCACCAGTCCTGGGATGAGAGTTCAAAATATTTTTGGGAAGTAGAGCTTTACAAAAGCTGAGACACTAACATTCACCTAAACTACTGATAATCTAAAAGTCTACAACATTGCAATTGCAAAGGTAAATGACTTGAAATTGAGGCTACATAATCAGCAAATTTTTCTTACATCCAAATGATAAATATTTGATTATGCCAAGAAAAATCAGACAGCAATCTTTTGATAGCTGAGTTTGAGACTTATTTTGTCTTCATGCAAAATCTTGGACTAACCCCTAAAAGCACTTCTTGCTACTGCAAAGATTCAAAGCCTTTGGCAACATATTCAAGGCAAAATAAGGCATAGAGAAACTGTGACTTTACTTTGTGTTCCATACAGGTCTGCTCAGGGATAGCTGAACACAACAGCCCTAAAGACAATCTGCCAAAATCACTAACTCATGTTTAACAGCACTGTCTCCAGAGTGCCATTCAGGGAGGGATGGAAGCACAATCTCCATCATATCAACTTTCTCATCTTGTACCTTTTGGAGCTGGCAGCTGTTTCCAGACTCCTCACAGCTTCCAAGTTAGGAAGAGACAGCAGAAAAAATTCCATCCCCTCCCTGCATTCACAAATGTCAAGCGGCAAACACGTGACCTCTAGGGAAAATCTGCACACCTTTTCTTTGGTCATGAGTATTTCTTAAAAGGGGCTGTAGAAAACAGCATGTACTTATTAAGGAGTAAATGCAGAATTTGTTCTGCACCTAACATGAATAGTAATTTTTTAAGATTTGGATCCTTCAGAACATAACACCATGAATTTAACAGAAGTGAGGAGAATCTGAAACCACCAGCACCTCGCCACTTGCAGAAGCTATAACAAGCAACTGATACCTAATTTCATAAATCTGTGTCTCATTTTGACAAACTGCAATTTCCACAACGTGGTATGTAAATGAATGAAGGATTATTATCAAGAAACTACTCCTAACTAACAGAATCTTAGATTTTCAATTGCAAGATCTTACCTATTCATTTGCCTGAGATATGGTGTACTGGACTAGGCTCAATTGGACAGTTTCAAAAAGGGAAATTATTTCCAGAATTTAATGGGCTTAATACAGCAGATGAGAAAAAAAAAATCTGTAGACTGAGAGATATTTCAGTGCATAAGCTCAAAAATACCTGAGATCACTGTTCATTTACAGTTCACTGTTTATTGAAGTTCATTCCATGCAGTTAAGCCTAAATTTTTTCCATTATCAATTTTTAAGATGGTAGGGATTAAAATTCTCTTTTGAAGACTATGCATTTCTCTCTTTTCATGCAAAAAACCCTCCAGTGATTTATGACGTTACTCCCAAAATAGCACAGCAAAATCACAAATATGCAATGTATTCTATCTTCTAGATCATTTATTTTCATTACATATTCTAGGTGTACAATTCTTTCCATCATTCATTCCTCCTTCAAGTAAAGAACACATCACTAACACATTAAGTCATACAACTGTTAATCTGTAATCTACTTGAAACCTTCTACAAATTTAGTTTATGAACCCAATCAGTCAACTCATATCTCTGACTTCACCTTCTCCTTGCATGGTTTTGGAAAACACCTTGAATCATCTATCACCTCACCAGTTACAGGTCTTACACAAATTAAAACCAGTACTAAAGCTGGAAAAATGCCTTTCAGCTTTCTGCCAGTACTTTTAAACTGACTATCAATGTGTGAATTGGGTTTTATGTATGATAGTTGGTTATGTCACAGGTTTGTTAGGCTTTTCATCCAAAGACAAGTAACCACAAATAAAGTTTTACTGTATAGGTTTAATATGAAACCATTTTGTGTGTTGTGTGCTCTCTGAGGAATACCATTAAATACAGAAGAGATAAGCATAATGTACCAAGTTAGCACATTTTGAATGCATATTTGGTAAAGGTACACATGTGTCTCCTAGACAATTGTCACTGTCAGGTAAAACAGCCCAGATGAACAGGGATCATTTAGTACAGAAAAACCTGCATCCAATCAATGAAATATCTGTAGGGATGCTTAAACATCCATCTTCACCAAGATGCAAAATCTTTCAAGCAAGTAATTCAAAATCCTCCAGCATCTGATATTTCAGTGTGAAATTTCTGTTTTTTCACAAAAGAAAATCTATTCATTATCTTGTCAAGACTTTTTATATTTTTAAGTGGAACTTTCCTGTCAGCAACACTTCAGAGTTCCCTAAACAATGGGTATAAAAGATACAATTTAAATGTAATCATAAACTCACCCTATTTTCTAGTCATTCTTCAAACATCATCAATTCAAATACCAAGAGTGATGCCAAACCAGCCCAGCCACAAAGACCAATGGTTGGAAAGTCTCAAATATTTTACCCCTGAGGCACATCCTGCCACTGGACAACAATCAGGAACAGTCAAGCATGGGTCCTTCCCAGCTACCCTACCCCACAAACCATGGAAGTTAAGCAAAAGAAGATGTACCCATAAGTGTATTCCTTGAATGAACAACTATAGGCAATCCTGAGCTGTTCTAAATGACTTTTTCTTAGATTTTGCTCATGACTCATCAGCTAAGACAAATATTGTCAGGAACTATGTTCAACATTATATTTGTAGCAAAGGGACAGAATGAATTCCATAAATACTCTGTATCTATGTATGTATCATAGAGAGCTGTTCTAATATATTCTCTTTATTTGACTGAAAACCATCATGTACCAGACCAGTGGTTTGGGCCACAATGCCTACAGGAAACCACTGTATGGTACAACTGAGATGTCAAATGACACTGACTGTTTTTACATTGCACCAATGTCCAGCAGTACTGTTCACTCGCAGACCAAGGAATGTTTTTCAAGCCCAAATCAGATCTTCTAGAGCAGTCTTCTGAGGAAGCCCAAGTCCAGCGAGCTTTCTCACCTCTTTAATAGTGCTAACAAGCCTGGTTCTCCCAGGGGAGATCTAACAATCTTTCCTGATATCCAACACCATCAAGTCGGTTGCTTACAGGAATGGGATACAGGGTCTCTCAAATGCCAACTTGACTTGTCCAGCAATCCTGATTTTCTAGAGAGAGGCAACGTTGCTTAAATAACTTCCTATAGGAGCTCATAAGCCTTGAATGAGAGCTAGTGTACAGGTGGCACTAAATGCTGTTGGCAATTATCCAATTAATTTAAATTTATTTGTCTGATTTTCAGTCAATTAAAAAGCTGTAAAACTAGAGTATGAAAATCTAAATATATTCAATGACTGGAGGAATATTTCTAATGGAGTGAAACAAGTTTTTGATATCTGAGTTCAAACTTGGGAAATATTAGTCCTTACAGTATTATAAAAAAATATGACAAAGAAAGAAAAGGTACCAAGTACTGTACTGTCATCTGGGTTTCTCAATACCTCTATAAATCTTAAAGCCCTCTCACTCAATGAGGCAAAGCATCTTCCTCTTCTAGCAACCCTACACAGCTATACCCTAAAACTTCTGGGCTGTGGCAAGGCTGAAGGCAGACAGAAAGCAGACAAGGCTGTTTGCATCACCTCCAACAGGCACAAGAAGCTGCACTCACACGGTTCCAGCAGGCAGTTCCCTTCCCTGACATCGTGCAGCCAGCCACAGCCACAGCTCCCCTGAACGTAAATTTTTATTTAGTCATGCAAGAGGCAAAGGATGAAGGTGAAGGAGGAGGGAGAGGAGGAAGAATATAAGTAATACCAGGGAGAGATGACATGCTGTCCCAGAAAAGACTGCTGATGCTGCACTGAGTGCTGTTACTGTGCTAATAGATGATTAAAAATGATGGGGAAAAAGTCTGGAACACATGGCAGGGAGAAGGTGCATTCTTTTAATCTGTGAGGGCTCCTGGTGCTGTGTTCCAGGAAGCAGTGCTCAAAGGCACGACAAAGCCTTGCTTTCTGTGCCTGCTTGCTGCTGTCAGGTGCTGGGGTCTGCTCCTGGCAGAGACTTCCCCCTTGACAGAAACAATTACTGAGGAGCAAAGCCTGGCAAAACAAGCAGTGCTGTGATTGATAATCTGGGTGCATTACAGGCCGTCAACAAAAGCTACGATGCTTAAATTTGACAGCTGGCAATGCTTGATGAGAGCAAATTAGTGGATATACATTCACTTCAGCCAGAAGTTTCTTCTGTTTCTAGTCCAACAGCTTCCTGAATAGGAAGTGTACACAGTGATTTCGCCCACTTCTGCCTGCTCACATGCCAGCTACACTGGCAGCACAGCTAAGAATATACTATAAAAACTACATATTTTGGCACCTTTGTATATTAAAGCCAGTAACTGAAAAGCTGCGAGTGACCTCCAGACACTAGTGGTATAAGAACCTGAAAAAAGATGACTTTGACTATACAGACTATGCAGTAGATATGGGAGGCTGAGAATGCACTGCATATGTATCAAGTCCACTGCAAGTGATGATAGTTATTGAAGTGCTTCACTAGTCCTTGAAAAATTTCTGTTTGTTTCTGCTTCAAATTGGTTAACCTGGCATTCAGAGAACACCAGAACTCATAGTACCTTCTGTTCTGCCCAGTTCATAAAGAAATCTCTGACACGGCACATTCAAATTCCTCTGCCTGTTCTTAACTTTCTGATCACAAAAATTTTCTTTCCCCACTTTTACATCTATTTGCAGTCTTGCCAATGTAAGTACATGGGTAATGTGGTAAGGAGATCAATAAACAAAGATGGATCCAAGTGCCCTGAATCTCATCACTCATTTAAAATACTAATTTTTCTTCCTCAGCTATGAAGAAGCCATCACCACCACACTCAGACAACTTAGATACATATTCCTAGACTTCCTCAGTTCCCTTCCGACAGGGGTTTGAGACATGTCTCCCCTCAGTGAACTCCAGACTGCTGGAACCCTTCAGAGAACAACAGGGGTTCTGTCACAAAGCAGCACCACATTGAGCAATTATCTGCACTGATTGCATCCATGTCACCTGAAGAAGCAATTCCTTTGCTAACAGGGTAACTGCTCTCATCAGACATGGTTTCAAATCAGGGCAGCTAAGGTAAAGCACAGACTAACTGCACGCCCTCACAATCTGTATTATTTCATTGGGCAGGGTGGTAACTAAAGCTGCCAGAAGTGTGGTCATGCTGATACAGCTCCACAGCAGCAAGAGGAAAACATTTGTCTGACAGTCTCCTTTGACCTGTTTTACATTCTCTTGTTATAAACAGAAATGACTGCAGCCAGTGGAACTTCAGTTTGGAAAAGTTCACAGCAGAGAGTGTCAGGTGTCAGTGTGCAGGGTTTCCAGGGAAACAAGTAACAGTGGAAAAATGTCATTTTTGGTGTGAGAAGCTACTCTGGAATCTACAGTTCCTCAGGATCCCATGAACCACATTTACTTGGGAAATCAGTCTTTGCAGTAACTTGGCCTCATAAAGAAAACCAGCCAAAATCTTACAGGGAAGAGGCACAAAGTAGTACAGAAAAAACAGCTTTGGTACTTGCTTGCTTAGATGAAATGTATATTCAATATTGCATAAGTACTATTATTACCAGTCAATTATTAGCTATTTGACCATTGCCAAATAATTCCTCTCCATTTGTGGGAATGTTAAATAACAACCCCTCAAATTCATGCTGGCCCACAGAGGAAGGCACAATCTTGATGAGGATATAGAAGCAGAAGGAAATAACAGGTATTAAAGACTCCTCTGAATGGCAAGGCTGACTACAAAACCCACACTTAAAATACCATAGGGCTTCTTATCTCCCTTTATTAAAATAAAAAGGAGCTCTTTTTGAGTGAACTGCAAGTGTGTCTACAGCAAGAACATGACAGGTAGTAAATACTTTTTTTTCTATCCCCCTAATAGAAAAAAAATAGTAATCAGCTTAAATTGCAGTAAGGGACATTACATATAATAATAAAGACAGATAAGGTATAAAAAAGACATCCCAGGACTGAAGGTCTCCTTCACTTAAAGTCTTTAGGAACAGATTCCAGGTGTAACTGGATGAATCAACTCAGTCGCAGAGAGCTCTCTCCTGAGGCCATATTCACTATTTTTCATTTACAGTTTGCACGACAGAAGAAAATATATATTATGAAATACATGGCAAAAGCTTAACCTGGGTGGTTCTCTGAGCATGCTGAAGTATAGAATGAAACCCCAAAATGTTCTCAAAAGTCTGAGGAACTGATCTGAAAATAACTTTGATTTAGGAATAGGCAGCATAATAAAACATAAGTAATATTAATCTAACCTGAAGTAGCACAATTTCAAATGAAAAGGTTGAGATCCTGTCATCAGTAACACTGAGTCAAGCTAGTTCCTGGTAACTTCTGCTATAATAATAATAATAATAATAATAATAATAATAATAATAATAATAATAATAATAATAATAATAATAATAATAATAATAAGTGAATATGTGAATATATGAATATATTACTTATATATATGAATATATAAGTGAATACATAAGTGAATATAAATATTTACAAACAATTAATTTGAATAGTACTCCAAGCTGTCAGAAAACACTAATACTGTTCAGAGTCTCCTAAAAATTCTAACACTTATTACTTCACATTTATGGCATGGCAGTGATGGAGATGCTGGTCAAGTCAGGCACCCATTCTGCTACACACTGTATAAATACAGAAGATGACAGTCTTTGCAACACAGGGCTCTTAGCAGAAAATCCCAGCTGTTTAAGACTGAAAGCCCACAGACAGGAAAACCTCAGCCTCTTCAGATATGCCTTCCCTTTACCACTCAAACTTGTGGAGTGGTGCTTTGCTCTCTTACAATAAATAGAAGCTGATATTAAAACTTAGCTTGACGAGGAAAGGGATAAATGGCAAGCATGCTGCTTCCTAACAGCTGAGCAGTGTCTGTGCTCCACCAAGCAGGCCAAAGCTCCCTGGGTCCCTGGCAGCCCGGTGGGACACCGGCGGGGCCCTCTCCACGCCACATCTGGACCTGGTTACACAACTCCAACTCTTGCATCAGCCCAGCCCCTCCAGAGCAGCAGCCTGCCAGGCACTGCCTCTCCATGAGCTCCCCACAGAGACACAGTGCCCGAGGAGGAATAAATTGGGACCACATTAGCTGGTGACCCTCGCCCTGCAACGGCCCTGCCTGTCTGATGATAGAGGAAATCCCTCATCCAAACTGACAACCAATATGAAACAGGCAGCAGCATTTACTGGAGAGCCTGGTCAATGCTGAGTGCCTCATTAGGAAATGGGCTCTGTATTGAGGCACATTCCTGCAATTCAGAGCCTAGAAACTCTGAATTAAAACAACATTGATGCCATATCCTCTTTCCAAAATGCTTCTCTTCATCCTAACTTTAACACACATACTTAGAGAAATTAAAGAACAAAAATGTCTTTGGCAGGACTCCTTCCCTCTCTTGTGCAGCAGTACCCTTGCCGTGTGAGTGACCAGGAATGTGACAGTGTTGGGAAAGGAGAGAGCACAAGGAATGACAGCAGAGCCCTCCAGATTCTGGATACCCTGTCCTTGATGAACCTATATGTCTTCACTGATACTTTTAAATAAATAAAACTCACAGGAAATCATTGGAACAAGTTTTTGTTTTGTGAGTGTTGTACCTTTCTACACTCTAAGAAAGGTCAATTAACAGCAAGTCAGCCAATGGTAACCAGCACAATCAATGAAAAGTCACGATCCAAATCCTATCCTGCATGCTTGGATCCATTCACACTCACTATTGCAGCACAGTCAGGAAACTGCTTCCCTAAAGTACTGTCAGAAGCTCTTTCCAGCCTGCAGTGAGATTCAGCCATGCTGATAACACGGCATGCACAGCTCTTCCCACAAACCACCCCGTCCCATATTGCTCAGCATTTCTGTGTCCATCCTACGCACATGGACACGGGAACCTTTTACTCAGCCCTGTCTGACCACCAACTGAAAGAGCTGCTTTTCCCCACAAAGCCTAAGCATTTCCTAGGAATGGGATGGACTGAAATACCAAACACTTATCAGGGAACTCTGAAACACGAATGACTGAGGTCAGGACCCCAGCTCTGAATCTGAAGGGTTGACTAAACTTTTTGGGTTTTTTGCTTTTCAAAGTCTTTCAAAATATCTTGATTTGTGGCATCACTTGCCTTCCTAGAACAGCTATGTTCAACACATCTGCAAGCCTGAAAGATTTTTCATTTACAATTTCTACTGTGAATTTAAGAATTACAGCTGAACTTTTAGGAAGTTCCTGAAAGGTGACATGGTTATGTGGAGCTGGCAAACACAGATGGACCCTTGTTCTCAAGATGCAGAAAAGGGTCCATTACGAGAAGGCTTAAACTGAGGAAGCAGTATAGTTGTTTTGCTGGAAAATAATGAGGCTGGTGACCTGGAACAACTGAAGAGGAGTGCAAGGGCCAAGTACACAGAATATTTGCAAAGCATGTGGAAAAATGAGATTTCCCTTGACTAAATCAGTAATGAAGATCTTGTAAAATCTCACAGCCATCTCTTCTGACCCATCTCCTATTTCTGGAGCTGTCAAAGTTGGTGTGATTTGAATTTATTCAGAAAAAGTACATACCAAAACTACTGGCACTGAAAAAAAATAAATGGAATTTTAGATTCTCTGTAATTCATAGAGGTGGTGAGTAATACTCTCCTATAATAAGCAATGAGGAGTTTTTCTATCAATGTGTTGAAAGCTGCACACAAAAAAATTTATATAAGATGACACATCCTTAAAACACAGGATAGAATTTAGGGAGGATGTGTCAAATCTCTGTTTGGTCACATAAATATTTCTCAGATATATTTTAAATATAGTTTAGATTGTTTATATGTAAAAATTCATTCTGTCTTGGGGGTTGTGGATGTACTGGAGAATACCTGTGATTTTATACTACACATAAAACTTTTATTTATACTACCCATACCACAGATGTGTTGAGGAGATTACTTTCTGCTTTCTTCACTATTTTTAAGATTAAAATCTTAAATAATCTTAAACAGTGACAAGTCTTTATAGCTGATTGCACTTTTGGAACGAGAATCTTCAAAGGCATTTCAAGAAAAAGGACCATTACTCCAATCTCAAATCATAATTGGTCTTACTACATACCAAGAACAAATTAATCTCCTTTGCAGTTTTCATTTATCTGGGAAATAAAGTATCCCACAGATACACAGAAAAGCACTTAGAACTGGCATCCTTAAGGGAAATGGTCATGTCTTTTTAGGAAGAGTTTACGATACTTACCAGCATTGAAAGATAACAATAGCAACTACAACATTTTAAAAATTATTTACCTGAAATCTAAGTCATTACAGATAGGCACAATGTTAATATGTTAATTAAGTATACACAGATTTTCAGCAGAAAAAAAACTCACCAAAAATACTACAGATTGTTCCAGCTACTCACAAAAGATAATCAGAAGGAAACTGGGAAGGGCAAGGGGCATGAAAGCACCTGAATTTAAGCTTAGGACAGCAAGAACTAAGAAGTGGTGTTAATTTCCCTTGGAATGAGCGGTACCATAAATTGCAGCTGCTGCATCAATAAGTACATGAACAAAACAAGTACTTGTCATGGCTGTGACCACTTCTGATTCCTGTTTTAGCAGATGACCTGGCTGACCAGTGACAGTAATTACAACTGTTGCTCAAAAGTAAGTAATACAAGACTGCAATCTATACTTATAGCTCATTCTGAAGCTGGTACATAAAACCCCCAAAAGTACTGTTCTTAAATGAAACCATAAATAATTATCATGGACAACATGCCAAATAACCTACTTGTGTTTGCTGAGAAAGAAGCACAGAAATCCGTTATCACAATGCTGACCTGGTTTTGTCTTACATTCTCTGACAGCAATAGAAATCATCTGGTTGACAGATGAACGTTGCACATAAAACTTTATGAAGATGGAAATGGTGGCACTGAAGAAGTTGATACTGGATTGGCAGCAGCATATGTGCTATTATGAGGAATGTGGCAAGGGAATAACTCAGGAAAACCCACCAGAAGTGCTGAAGTGAAAAATCCACACATATTTTTTCAGGTCCTAAATCTCTTATTGCCAGGGATGCCTTTTACTTCCTCTGTGTTCTACTGGCAATGTACTTTTCACACTGCATTTAGTACTGGAACATAATGTTAAATGCTTTAACAGAAACACACTTTTTCTAATTGTTATGCCAACATAGAAAGATCTTAGAAATGGGAGAGGCCAGAAATAGGAAAGGACCAATCTCTTCACAAGCACAAGACCTCCCAGAGTCTATTCTAGAAGCTGACATATGGTGTTCCAGTTGCAATCAGAAATCACAGGAGAGACTGTGTGGTGTAACATTCATATTTGAGCTCTACAGCCTATTCTTCCAAATAGGCTTCTTCCCCAAAAGGGCAAATATAAACTCCCAGGAGAAGTATCACTACTCTTCCCTGAATCTGTGACTATTCGTGCCTGAAGAGCATAACAACCAATGTCCTCTTCAGTCCCAACTTCCCATACAACCCTATCACACATTTACTACCCAGGCAGAGACAGAAAGAAACTTCCCTCAATGCTGAGTCCAGTAGCTAGTTTGAAATGGTTAGTTATGCACTTTCTGTCCTAACATACGACAGGAGTATACATTATTAGTTCCATAGATCAAGATAATAATCCCACACCAGATTATTAACTGGATTTTCCTAGCGCTCCTATACCCACCTGCTGCTTGAGCTGTTGCACAAGACGGTCCTTCTCTCGTTTCAGTGCAGCCACTTCATCCTGAGTCTTCTTCTTAGAGGATGAAAGCTCTAGCAGAGCAATATTGGCATCTTTTTCACTAATGGCAGCAAGAAGGGCTTCTTGTCTGAAAAAAAACCCAAAAAATTACATTATTATCTTGGAAAACTTAGAGGACTCCTCTACGAAGATTTGAACATATCATAAATGCTGTACCAGTGTGCAACTCTGAAAAGCAATAATAAATATTTTTGTCTGGGCTACATGTCTGTTGGTAGAACAGGAAGTCAAGACACACACACGTCCCCATAAACAACTTTGCTGATACCAAACGGCAGCTTACAGGGTGAGAAAAGCACATTATGTTCTTCTTCTGCACTCACCTTCTCAGTTTTTAATAACTACCATTCGTTATTACTTTGGCTGAACATTTTCCCATACCCTTCCCTGTAGCAGAAAACTCTTACAAATAGAATTCAGAAACATTTTATATGTACTGGGAAGAAAGGAGTCGAAAGATAATCCCCCTAAAAGTTAAACAGCAGCTCTCAGAGGAAGCCAAAGGATTGATTATGGTAGGGAAAGCAACCTTTTCTGTCATTCGACCTTAATTCTCATATTTAGCTGGTGATGTGCAACAGGATTTCAGAGAAAACCTTGGCCTCCTTGCCCAGTAGTGTTGGCTTGTTTCACCTCTCATCATCTTGCAAGAAGGTATAAAATGAGGTCTTAAACGTGTTGTGGTGTGAAAGATGGCTTCATGCAGGAGTGATGATGAAAGACAAACCAAATACGACACATTTCTTATCTACATTTCATCTAAAAATAAAGTTGCAAATGAATTTAAAGTTTTGCTGCAGCACTCAATATCAAGAAGTTTATTATCAGAATCCCAATTTAAGCCACTGTCCCATAACTCTGAAAAAATAATGTATTTCAAGAGGAAAAGGTGTGTTTCAACAGATAAAATTGTTCGCCATCTGACAGGACAGTGGACTAACACAATGGACTTTCTGTGGGTGGAATTTCTCTCTGGGTTTACACAGGTGTTTGTTGTACAGTCCAAGAGAGTTAGCCTGCTTTAAATGAAATACCAGCATATCAAAAATCTCACAGATGCAGTGTAGAGTGTACTTGGGTCCTGACTAGATCATATCTAGAGAAATATTATTGCTTCCCTTTCAAAATGTAATACAAAAAAAGTAAAAAAAAATACAAAAAGTAAAGCAAATTTTTAAAGATACATTAGGATAATCATAAAGTATGCTAAATACATTTGTGCTATGAAGAAATACAAATATACTGGTGACTTAATGGCAGCAAAGAGTAGAAGGAAATGGTGCACATCAGATTCCCAGATGTAGTGTCAAGGTGTGGGAACGATGGATAATGGGCGTGTTGCTATTGCCATTTTGTTTCTATTGCTTTTGCTTTATGGAAAAGTATCCAGTTTTGGATGTCTGCCTGAAACATGAAAAATACCAATAGGGTGAAGTGACAGAACATGATCCATGACCTCTGCTTTTTTTCCAGCTATCGGTATCCTGGGAAAGACAGGCTGGCTTGGAGCTCTGGTAATTTTCACTTTCTTTAGAGTAATCTGTTTTGATTATAAAGAAACACTTATTCTTTTAATAATAAGCCCACAATCCTCGCTGATGATTCAGGACCAGAGCCAAGAATATCTCCGTAACTCTATCTGTGGAGCCATTACTCTGGTATGGAAATTGGAGGTGCCTCAAATAGCATATAAGCCATATACCTACTGCAATCAAATCCTTTGTTGCCCATCTCTGCTTCTTAAGTGAAAACCCCAAGGCCAGGAAAATGAGATATGGATAGCAGTCCATTAC